TTAATTTCTGCTCTGGTTTTGTTATTTCTTTTTGTCTGCTGGGTTTGGGCTTCATTTGCTATTGTTTTTCAAGTGTCTTGAACTGCAATGTTAAGTCATTTATTTGTGTTGTTCCAGATTTTTTAATGTAGGCACTTAGAGCTATAAACTTCTCTCTAAGGACTGCTTTCAATGTGTTCCAGAGGTTTTGTTGTATTCTGTGGTCCTTTTCATTTAGTTCCAGGAATACTTTTATTTCTTTCTTAATTTCTCTTTTGACCCATTCATCATTCAGGAGCATGTTGTTTAATCTCCATGTGTTCACGTGGTGATTAAGGCTTCTTCTGGTGTTGATTGTAAGCTTTACTGCATTGTGGTCTGATAGAATGCATTGAATTATTTCAATCTTTTTGTATTTGTTGAGGTTTGTTTTGTGCCCCAGTATATGGTGGATTTTGGAGAAGGTTCCATGGGGTGGTGAGTAGAAAGTACATCCTTTGGTGCTTGGGTGGAATACTTGGTAGATGTCTATCAGGCCCATTTGATGTATGGTATTGTTTAATTCAGATGTCTCTAAATTAATTCTCTGTCCTGTTGACCTATCTAATGAAGACAATAGGGTATTGAAGTCCCCCATTTTTAATAAGTTGGGATTAATTTGGGTCTTAAAGTTCTGTAGTACTGATTTTATGAAGTTGGGTGCACTAGAGTTTGGTGAATATAAGTCATGATTGTAGCATCTTCTTGGTCAATTGTTCCTTTGATCAGAATGAAGTGGCCTTCTTTCTCTCTTCTGATTAGTTTTAGTTTAAAGTCTGTTTTATCAGACATTAGAATTGCAATGCCTACTTTTTTCTTAGCACCATTTGCTTGGTATATTTTTTTCCATCCTTTCCCCTTAAGATAGTGTCTGTCCTTGAAAGTGAGATAGGTTTCTTGCAGACAACAAAAAGATGGGTTTTATTTCTTATTCCATTCATCTAGTCTGTGTCTTTGAACTGGGGAATTCAGTCCATTGATAATTTAACGTTATCAATGAAAGATGTGTGCTGATTCCTGTCATTTTTATTTCTGTTCACATTCTTGGTGTAGCTGTGCATTTCCACAATCATACCTTCATTAAGTTTCTTTCTGTAACCCCTCGGGTATAGTCGTTCCTTTCTTCAGCTCTCTGTATTGCTTCCAGAACTCTCTGAAGGTCTGGTTTTGTGGACATGAATTCCTTCAGCCTATTTTTGTCCCCTTTGACTATAATAGACATTTTGGCTCAGTACAGTAATCTGGATTGGCGTCTGTGGTCATTTAGAACTGGGGATACTTTGGTCCAGGCTCTTCTGGCTTTCACAGTTTGCACTGAAAAGTCAGCTGTAATTCTTAGGGGTTTTCCTTTATATGTGACGTGTTTTTCTTTTTGCAGCTTTCAGTATTCCCTCTTTGTTCTATATGTTTAGTGTTTTTACTATGATGTGTCCTAGAGAGTTTCTTTTCCGGTCCTGTCTATTTGGTGTTTTATATGCTTCTTGTATTTGTATAGGCATATCTTCCTTTACTTTGGGGGAAATTTTCTTCTACAATCCTGCTGACAATCTGGTCAATGCCATTATCTTGGGATTCTCCTTTTTCCTGTATGCCTATGATTTGTAAGTCTGGTCTTTTTATCATGTCACACAATTCCTGTATATTCCATTCTTATGTTTTCTTAAATTTTTCATAATCTTTGCTTGAGTGGTCTAGTTCGTCCACTTTGTCTTCCAGTCTCGATACTCTGTTTTCCATTTCATTCATCCTATTGGTGAGGCTTTCTCCTGTCGTTTCTAATTGGCTTACTGAGTGTTTCACATCCTTCTTCATTTCAGCGTGAGCATTCTTCAATATTTCTAACTCTTTTCTGAATTCATTCAGTTTATCCCTATCGTCTTTCAGCTCTTTAATTTCTTTGTGTGTTCTTTAAATTTACTGGATTCTTTTATCATGTTTATAATTGTTCTTTTGAGTTCCGTGTCCTGTGTTATCTCTAGATGGTTCTCATTGTACTCCTCTAGGGGACTGGTGGTACTTGGTGGGGATATATTATTTTTATTTTTCATGTGTTTATTTTTTCTCTGTGACTTTGACATGTGGATTTCTTTTTTAGATTCTGGTTCTTGGGTGAGACTCAAGCCTTCCTTTGTTGAGTTTAGGTCTCTGCTTCTTTTTGTTAACTTTATGTACCTTTGTGGTTTACTTGTTGGGCTTGAAAAGCTGGTTGGTGTAGGCTTCAGGTTCTCTCTTTTGATTTTATATTGGAGTGGCCAAATTGCTTTCATCTTGCTGCTCAGGAATTCCCACAGATGTCTGGATCCCTCCTGAGGTTCTGGATTTCTCCTGAGGTCTGGATCCTCCAGGAAAGATGCTGGCCTCAGGAATTTGAAGGCTGGGCTGGCTTGGGGGCAGGGCCCAGGAAAGATGCTGGCCCCCAGGGATGCAAAGGGAAGTAGGGTGAGAAGAGGCCCAAGGGCACCTGGGGACTACAGGGAGGAATTTTGTTGGTCTGGACACAAAGGATCAGAAAGCAGTGGGGATTCTGGGCTAAGAGGCCCATGGATCTGGGGTGTCACGACAAGATATGGGCCAGTGCCCCGGCTAGGAGGAGAGATGGGGTGGGGGAGCTGGGAGGGTGAATGAGGCTGCGGGAGTCAAGGCACAGTGGGAGCAGCCAAACTTACCCAGGCAAGTTGCTGGCTCCAGGAAGCTGTGGGGCTGGGCCACCCAGAGATGCAAAGCGGGGTGTGGACTAGAGGGAGAAATTGTGTTGCTCTGGATGCAAAGGATGAGGAAGCAATGGAGAGTTTGAGCCAAGAGGTCAGTCCAAAGGTCTGGGTGCCCCAATCTACCTAATGTTTTAAGCATACCACAAAGACATGAACTACTTGTGTGTTTCCATATGTACTGTATGTCACAAAACTACCACACTGGGCTTCTGACAGACTCAGACTAGCTTTTCCATGAAGACACTTCTAATAAGTAAAGTGTTAACTGGAAAACACATTTGTCACTTAAACAAAATCTTTTCTTTTTAATTTTCTGTGTGTACATACAAATGGTTGCATAGACAATGTATGTACCGTATATGTGTGTGGGTACAAGTTCATGTGTGTGGATGCATGTATGTTTAAGTACAGGGCTGTATGTGCCATAGATAGCAAATGAAGATCAGAAGACAACCCCAGGTGTCAGTCCTCACCTTCTACCTTGTTTGACAGGATCTCTGGTTGTTTGCCACTGTGTATACCAGGCTACCTGGCGCACACCTCCTATGGATTTTCCTGTTTCCACCTCCCATCTCATTGACGGAGCACTTGAATTGCAGACACATGCTACTAGGCCTGGTTTTACATGGGTTCTGGGGATTCAAAATCAGGTCTTTATACTTGCACAAGCAAGTGCTTTACCCACTGAGCCAACTCCTCAGCCTAAACAAAAATCTTAATTTAAAAAGAAATCTATATACATGAGCTATAGAAGAAACAAAAAGTCAAGCTGCTGCTGACTTCAAAACTTCATCTCTCCTGGCTAGCTTTCATACTGCTGCAAGGTGCTGTACAAGATCCCTGAAGAGAAAAATCTATCAACAACCTTACCCAGCTGTGAATACTGCATGCTACAACAACAGCCTGTCAAGATATGCCCTCTGGTGTAATAGTGGTATGAATATTATGGAACTAACCAACCACTTTCTAATTGGATTTAAGATCTGCTTCATGGATGGAGCCCATACCCTACATTGATATCAGGCCTAGGAACCTGAGGCTAGATAGGTCACAGGCCATAGGGGAGAGCCTAATATTATTATTCTGCTAAATAGGTTTAATATTAAGTTGACTTCTAATGACTTATTGTTATATCCATAGATTAATGCATCTCTCAGCTCTCAGCAGAAAAGCTTCCTTATACAACTGGTAGTGATTAACATACAGAACCACAACTGGTCAACATGCAGAGAACAAGAGGCTGCAGAGTGTTTATTTCTGAAAGGGACACCTATATCAAACTTCTGCTCCAAGGCTCAGGGGTCATTGCAGAAGAAGGGGGAAGAAAGATTTTAAGAGTCAGAGGTAGTGGATGACCACAAGGAAACAGAGTTTTTCAGACAACTCATATGAACTCATAGCAACTATGACAGCATGTACAAGTACCATGTAAGGTAAACCCAGACAAAATCCCAGCACAGACACAGGAATTGGGAAAGAAACCCAAACACTCCCTGAGGAAGCACTGGCAACTGAAAGCTGGGAGGGACAGGGTCAGTCTTGTTTAAGGGTGAGACTCTTGGTAGGTTAACCAGGCTCCAGTGAATATACCCACACCAAAGGAGACACAAATTTGACTCTATAGGCATATATACACACACACATACATATATTTCATTTGTGTGTGTGTGTGTGTGTGTTTGTGTGTGTATGTATGTGTGTACATGAAATTAGGTAAGGGGTAGTAAGGGAGGTATAGATACAGGAGGTGATCTAAATATGATTAAAATATATTGTATGAAGTTTGAAAAATTCAATAAAAAACGCTGATAAGAAAAAATTCTCTAAATCTCATTATCCAAGATCAAGCTGGAAGCATACATTTCACAAAGGAAAACAATGGACGTAAACAGGAACTGTGAACACCAACAAATAAGTGAGCATGTCTCAAATGCATGGAAGAAATTCCACTATGCCTGTTTGGGAATAGAAACAGTTAACAGTGAATAAGGTGGCATACTTGATTGGCAGTTTCTTCCACAAGTGACTCAGGGTTAACATAACAAAGTTTATTGTAAGAATGCAGGAAGAGCCACCAAGAAGCAAAATTCCTTAAACCTCCCTCAATTATAGAAAGAGCATTTGTTACACAAGAGCTGACCACTAGGTGGCAACACGTTCCCACTTTCTCAGTACCAACAGATCAGCCTTGTCTTAAGGTTTTTCAGACAACAAACAGAAGAGACACATTCCAAGCACCATTTTTATACCAGAAAGCTTTTGTTTCCTTACATTCTGAATATTGATCTGTAGTTCCATTTTGTAGTGATTGAAGTCTTTGGAAAGTTCATGACCCTGATGATAGAAAGTAAACATTCCCTGAAAAAATGACAGCATCTAAGAAAAAGGAGAAAGGGGACATTAGTACATACAGACATGTAAAAAAAAGAATCATTGACATCCAATCATCTCATCATCTGTCATTCCACTGAAATAAAGTAATTCGAAAAAAGGCACCAGCACCTGAGTAAGGCCAAGTTCATATTACCTATTAGCTGGTCTTTACTGAAAATGGGGGATGCTATTGACCGTAACTATCACCACTAATAAACAGAATTTACACAGAAAGCTTTTGTTCTAATTCTGTAAGTAAACAGAATTCCCGAATCATCCATGTGTCATTAGTCAAGGGAATTCTGATGTTCACTTGTATTGAAACCTAAACACAGTAGGAAAATTTAGTCTATAGGAAAATCAACTGAATGAAAGCATCAGTCTGTAAGAGCATCCAGGCTCGGCCACGTGCCCAGGAATGAGGTGGGTAATAATTAAGCCCTTAGTTTTCTACCAACTCCCAACCCACCCCTTTTTAATTAGAGAGCAGCTGGCTCTGCCTTCAGGTAAGTGTTATCTCTAAAGTTCATAGGGGTGATATGAAAAGCAAATTAAGAAAATCCTGAGGTTTTCTTCACAATGCCACATGGACTAAGGAATCTAGGAACTCTGACATAAAATGGCCGGCCAGCCAGGGTCAATTTGCAACCCAACAATTCTTATGTGTCCTTGGGAAAAATCACTGAAACTTTCCCTTCAATTCCTTACTTGCTAGGTGGAGGATATGAATGTATCTCTTCACTGAGTTACTGTGTGGAATAAGAGTGGACACAATATAATATTTAGAAAATGACTTGAGCCATGACTGGGCACCGCAAAAGCCCAAAGTCCAGTATTATTACTTCAACATGAAAGATGCTGTAAGGTTTTATTTCCTCTGATTGTTTAATTCAGGTTAATTTTATTACTTCCAACTGCCTGTTTCTTAATAATTACTTGGTTATTCCTTTGTTTCTCAAAACCATGCACATAACAGAAAAACTACAATATTTGAATTACAGCTCAATAAAGCTGTATAAGAGAAAGTGCAGTCTTATATTAAAAGTAATCGACCCAGGAATTCCAACATTTCACAATTTTCTGCTAAAATCCATTGTATAAAATGCCCTCCATACTATGATTTAGGAGATACATATTCACACCCTATTTAAGCATACTAATATAAGTAAATGAACCCACTAGAGGACATCAATATAATCACAAAACTGGTGTTTCTAGGATTTAGAGAGATGATTCAATGGTTAAGAGTGCATCACTTCGGGAGAAGCTAAGTTCACTTCCCAGCACCCAGCACCCCATGTAACTCCAACTATGGAGGATCAGACACTTCTGACCTCATTGGGCACCTGTACTCATGTGCATATACCTGCACACAGACACACACATGCACATAATTAAAAATAAAATAAGCCTAAACAAATTTAAAAACTGATGTTTCTAACAGAAACCATTCACAAAATTGCTTCAAATAGTCCACATACAGCATAACTCTGGTTACTGCAAGCACTGCTGAGTTGTCTTAAAATACTGACAATAACTGGGTTTAAAAAAAAATTAAAAAACAGTTTGAGCAAGGAAACTCACTTTAAAAGAATCTAAAACATATCATCCCATAAAGATTACCAGTGCTACTCACATTCACCTTCAGGGCAGAAGACAGCAGAAGTAGCTCCCAACTTCAGTGCTTAAGACCACGGAACAATGGAACTATATTCACTCCATGCTGCTGTGCAGATAAGGCTAATCACTCATTTAGATGCTTTTCCTTGACTTTCTGACTATGTCCTCCTTTTACAATGTAAGATGACTACCTTTGTATCTAGACCCCACTATTATAAAACTCACCAAAAAAAAAAAAAAAAAAAAAACTACTCCAATACTCACAGGTTCCACAAACTCAAACTTCTTTCTTTCTTGGATTTCCTGAAGCTTACATACATATTCAAGAGACAGTTCATAGAAGTGCTGCCGATTCTGCTCCACTTGGAGATCTGCCTGTGTTAAAATAATAGAGGTTAGTTGAACAAAAAGACCAGGAAATATCGAACTCTGTACCAGAGGTCAGCAAACTCAACTGTATGGTACACTGATATGTAAAAAAAAACTTGTGCTGGAAGCATGACAGTTCACTCATGTGTCATTTATTTCTCCTGTCCTGCCACAAAAGGAGTGAGGCACTGCAACAGGGGCATCATGCTCTGTCTGAAATAGTTCCTCTCAGACTGCAGAAAAAGCTTGCTGGTCCCTAAGGACTGAAGACCAACAACTGTGCTTTTTCATGTCACAAAATCAAAACTTTCATCAACAACATTCCCATGAAAAAGTCCTCTAAGAAGGAAGATAGCTTGTGAAGGAGGGCTGGGGCAGCTCTAGTCTTCTCAGCACTGGGTGAGTGAGGGCAGCAGGTGAGGAAGCAACAGCCAGGCACGACTCAGGAACCTGGTTTCAAAGGCAAGCCAGGGCTGCAAGCCCATCTGGAGGCAGGAGTGTTCCTAAGCCCTCATAATGCCAGATTCCCAGATCTCCAGATCCCAAGGGGCACCAGCTGGCCAGGAGATCATCCAAACACCAGCACTCATCTTGCTTCACTGGAAAGGGCAGAGAGGAAAACAATGCCAAAGAGAACAGTGAGGAAAGTCTTATCCAGAAGCCACCCTGAGCAGCACCAAGCAGTAGTTTTCCTACCTTGGTTTTTTATTTTTTTTAAGTATCCATCTAGGTATTTCTCCAAAATAGATACACATGGACAAGCACATGTAAAGAGAATCAGTCAGTAGGGTAGCATAACAAGACACTACCTCACACCCATCAGGATAGCTACTACAGAGTAAGCAGGGAGAAGTGCTGGCGAGGTGATAAGGATATGGCAAAACTAAAATTCTCATGCACTAATGGTGGGACTAAATAAAACAGTGAAGCCACTGCAGAAAATAGCATGGCAATTTCCCCAAAATTAAAAATAGGGTTATCATATCATCCAGCAAACCCACATTGTGGTATGTATGCAAAAGAAGTAAAAACAAGGGCTCAAAAAGATATGGCACACCAATGATTATAGCAGCATTATTCACAACAGCCAAAAGGTAGAAGCAATTGTAGTATCCCAGGATAGATGGTCAAGTGAGTTTTATAAATACAATGGAATATTGTCCTTTAAAATGAGACAAGACTAGAGGGATATCTCAGTGGGTAAGCATGCTTGCTGAACAAACATGAGGACCTGAGTTCAGATCCTAGAACCCATATAAAAAGCCAGGCACGGCCACACACGGTATAACACAAACTTGGAAGGTGGAGACAGGACCATAGTTGGGGCTTGCCGGCCACTAGTTTAGCTCCAGGTTCAGTGAGAGAATCTGCTTCAAGGGAACGAGGCAGAGTGATAGAAGGACGCCCTCTTTCTCCTCCTCTGGCCTCCATGCATGCTCACAAGCGAGTATGCATGCACACACCCCTGACACACATGCACAGGCACCACACACAGTAAAATTAAATAAAGTTAAATTAAATTAAAATGAAGAAGGCAAATTAGGCTGAGTAACATGACAAACCCTATAATTCCAGCATTCCATTCAGGAGGCTAAGCCAGGGGGACAACCATTGCAAGACTAGCCTGAGCTGTACTGCAAAAGCATGGCTCAAAAATTAAAGGCAACACAAAAGAATGAAAAGGAAAGGAAAGGGGCAAATTACGGCAGTGCTGGGACACAGGTGAGCTACAAGACTATTATGCTAAAACAGAATAAATCAGACATAAAAATCCAAATCCTATATAACTCCTCCAAGTATATGACTAAGACAGTCAAACCACAGTGAAAGAAACTAGAATGATGTTGGTGGGGCTGTGGGGCAATGGAGAGTTACTACACTGAGCCTTTGAGAAGACTCAAAGAAGTTCTGGAGATCAATTCCAATGAACTTGTACAGTTTAAATAGTTGAAATCAATTTGATTACAGATATTTTGGTTTTTGCTGTTGTTTTGGTTTTGTCTTTTTGAGACAGGGTCTCCCTGTAGCCCCAGCTGTCCTGGAACTCACTATGTAGACCAGGCTGGCCTCGAACTCACAAAGATCTGCCGGCCTCTACCTCCCAAGTTCTGGGATTAAAAGTATGCACCACCACGCCCGGCGATTACAGATATTTTGTAACAAACACCAGAAATTTCTGAAAGTCTAATATCTGTCTTCTATCTGAGTAAAACATCATCAAATGCTTTAGGTAAAATAACATTTTACTAAAATAAAGTTACTAACCTGAGTAAAAACTGTAACACTGTGTGTGCCCAATAACCAGTTTATAATTGTTTATCTACCAGCAGTCTAACGCACAGCTTAAATCCTGTAATTATGTTAAGTGGTTAATAGACTGAAGGGCTGAGAAGGGTGGTTTCTTCATGTTTATATCACGAGGAAAAATAAGAAAAATCACTAAGGATCAAACTGACTCTCCTGGTTGTTCTTGCTACAGCGCTACCGCTCACACTGCTGGACTTCTATCACCACCTCCTTAATGTTCCAAACACCCAGAACTGCTGTGCCAAGAGCCATGTGATTAAATCACCAGACTCCCCAAGTCCCAGACACTTCCTGACTTACCACACCACAATATCCAAGTTGTACTTAAGAGTGCAAAATGACTTATTTTTATCATCATCAAGTCTAAAAGGCATTCACTACACTTCTTCCTACATGCTATGACTTGAATGTGGTTCACATGTCTCCCCTACCCCACAGAGTTTCATGTGCTAGAAAGCATGAGTAACTCTAATGTGTCCATTAAGGTGGTGGAATCTTCAGGAGATGAGGCCTGGTGAGAGGCTGTCAAGTCACGGAGGACCACTTTTGGAAAAGATCAATGTCTCATGGAATTGCATGAATTAATTCCCAAGAGACAAGGTTATTGTTAGGAGCCTGGCACATCCGTTGAATCTCTCTTTCACATACGCACTAAATAAACTAAACCTGTTTTACCCATGCACTAGCCATCCTTATGCATTTTGCCGAGGGCCTCTGCATTTGTTCTGTCTAGATTACGATTTGTTTTTATTTTAATAATTTGGGAGGCTGCTGTGACACATAATGGAGTAGTATGGTATACTAAGTTGTACGTTCAACAGACAACTGCATATTATAATCTAATTATTGCCATAAACATACACTAGATAGAAGATCAGTCTCACAGAAAATCACTCAAAGGCTCTACTTGTCTGGTGATACTTATATTGAAATAGTATTATTTGGCTACTCGGGAAAAAAATTAACTCTGAAAAACTAATGTGTGTTATAGGACAAATGCAGAATAGAATTTAGGGACAGAGCTAGGGGTAGAAGTTCTTATGCCTAGTACAATACCCACAGATCTATAGCAACAGGTCCTAACAGAAATACAAAGTAGCCAGCCCAAAACAGACTATAAGGTTATACTACTGTTTTCATCTAAAACAGTAAGACAGATGAATTTTATGCATTTCTATGCCTTTGTTCAGTATTCAACCTTTTTTATCTCTTGAGAAATTCAAGTCAATTCATTACAGGTCAGCCATGAATTTGTAGCTGGGAAAAGAACTGAAATATCCAAAATATACCTTCTTCCTTTTAAAAAGTCTCTTCCTTTTTAAGGCCTTCATGCTTGTAAGAGAAAGCTGTTTCTAGAAGGAGTCTGTACATAGTAAATAGAGCAAGACACGAAAATACATTCAATGTACATGAAAGTGAAATTATTCATCTTCAGAACCTCTTCAGATTCTCAACATGGAGTTTAATTACCTTTCTAAGGATGACACTGCCAAATCCCAAGTTCCCTGTACACACAATTTCATGTTTACACTTTATATACTATGCATAAACAACCCACTCTGACAGGTTCTAGCAATACAGATAGGGGACTGAATTAAAACAAGGTTGTTTCCTTGAAGGGGCTTATGTTCCAATGAAAGGAGTCATAGAATAGTACATGGTAAGAATAAGAAAAATAAACCAGAGGAAGGGGAACATTCTGAAAGACTGCCAGGAAAAAATTTCTAATAATGTGGCCTGAGTAAAGAGCATCTGGCAGAGGGAGATATGTGATCTGGGCTGAAAACACACTAGATAGTGATTGCAATGACTCTCTGTGGGAAAGTGTATGCCTAGCATCAAACCCCCAAATCAACAAAATAAAAGCAAACAGTATAAATGCAAAGACCCTAAACAAGAAATGTGCATGCCCTAAGAGGGGCAGGCACATTCAACATAGGGTCCTGGGGCCCCTATGGTTTCTGGAGGTGCCGTTGAAAGGGCTTTCAGGAAAAAAAAAAGGGGGGGGACATGAGAAGTGGCCACATTCTAAATAAATTATGGAACTAAAAATGACATATGTTGATGGGCTGAAGGTGGAGTGAGGGAGAAAAGCTAAGGCTCACCCCCACGTGATGAACCAGAACCCAGAGCACTTAGAGCAAGATAGCTGACGTGGAGATGGAAATTTACTTGGGGCATAAAAATTCTCTTCCAAATAACTGAAAGTAGAGATAATAGAGAAAAGTGCTAACAGCAGGCCCATAAAACCAACAGCTGTCACTGAAAAACTGACAGAGGGTGGAGGTGAGGAACCAGATGTAAACAGTGCATTGTTTTCTACATGACAGCAAACAAGGAGAGAACATAGCCAAGATTAAGTGGTATAAAAGACTAAGCACCATCCAAATGTCAGAGGTATTAGAGAGACATAAGCAAATGTCACCTATAGATAAGGCCAAACTAAACACACATGCTCACATACACACAGCCTAGAAATAAAGTATTTAACCTCCGTTTACACTAGTGTCATTGGATGATACTTCAACAAGTAACTATATAGTGGTATATTATGCCCAGATTTGTATGTGTTTAAAAACAAAAAAATGGGGGGGTACTTTTATTATAGTCAAGATCCTAAACTGCTCACCACATTTCTGGTAATAAAAGCCTATGTTCTGGGGCTGGAGAGATGGTTCAGGGGTCAAGAACAGATACTCAGGTCTCCAGTCGCTGGGGGCAAGTGGGGAGTATACATGATCATATTTCATTGTATACATGTATGAAATTCTCAAGAATAAACAAAAAAATGTTTTTTAAAAAACAGGTATTGCTCTTGCAGAGGAACCAAGTTCAGTTCCCAGCACCTGCATTCAGCAGCCCCCAACTGCCTAACTCCAGCTCCAGGAATCTGACACCCTCACCTGGCGTCCAGGGACAACTGCACTCACAGGCACATAACCCTCACACTGTGACACACAGGCATATACATCATTTTTTTAAAATCTTTTAAAAGCCTTATGTTCTGTGTTGTAAATAACTACATTTCTATTTAAGCCTGTAAGAGAAAAAAGTTTCATGAGATTTAGAAAGAAATGAGAAAAATGAACAGTAAGATAGAAATTTCTCTCTGTTTCTATATGGCTCTTTAAAAAAAACAGTAAGTCTATTAATACAAGTAGAACAAATATACTCTTTCCAGTCAAGTGGAACCTCCCAAACTCTCAGCATTAAATAGTATTAATGTTGCTTTCACATAAAAGTAAAAAAGCATATGAGCTAATTCAGCTCAATTCATCACTTCGAAGAAATCCTGACAGTCAATTAACAGATCTATTCCTGCAAATATCTGTTCTTTATAACACTCGTTAAAATTATTGCTCCTGTGAAAAATACTTCGAGTCAAAATTTTACTACTACAAATCCTGTTTAATTGATCACTATAAAATATAATTTGTCTTGCATCACAGAACTCTTTTCAATTCACTGCAATATCTGTTCTTTGTTTTACATCTCTATGTAATCTCAGATGAAGAGTTTTCACAAGTACATCTTAAAAAAGAAAAAACATGGATTATTTTTTAATCCTGTAAGCAAATTAATAGAAAAATCAAAAGAATACCTCTTGCAAATGTGAATCTTTCTTTTTGGCTGACAGATTCAAATGTTTGTCAATTAAACTGTAATTCTTTTCTGTTTCTTTGTCAAACTTCTTTTTTTCTTCCTACAAATAAAAACAGACAACTCTGATTATACACACAAAAAATATGGCATGCATAGTTAATTTACTGGCAACCTAAAAATATGAAAATCATCTAAAAATGAAACAAACAACCATTAAATGTGATGGTCATACACATAAAACAAAAATAAATTATTATCTTTTTAAAAATCCAAGCTGAAAATAAGAGGAAAATAAGTTATTTAGAAAGCAACACACTAGAAATGAAGCCCAGCCCCTTGCCCCATCCCTTGCACAGTAGGCAAGTGTTCGTCCAGTCAGACACTGCTTATCAATCAAATAGGCAGCACTGGGGTCATGAAGACACTTCTCTTCCTTTCCTTTAATGAGCTTTTTTCCACCCCTTTACTATTTTCAACTCTTTGTAATTATCAGTGGTAAGAGTTGACGCCATGCCACTTATCTCTCACTAAAAGAAAGCATATACAATAAGAGACTCAGCTTAAAAAGTATTAAGTCTAGCATCAATATAACAATAAAATACTTTATCCAAAAATGGTAACAACCTTCTCAAATCTTATCAGTGATTCCTATACCACCACTTAGAATATGTATCAATAGGCCAACTCACTCTAAAATAATAATTGCATTCTAGTACTAAGAGGTGTGGTTAGCATTACCAACATTTCTTGGGTACTGCCTAGAACTAGAATTTGCTTTGCTGTTGCTATAAAAGCCCTTTGAGAAAACAAGTGACCTGTTTTTTTAGTGCAGAGAGGACAGAAAAGCCACTGGATAACAGTTTTGAGCCTCGATGAGAACAAACTCTGTCCTCATGATAGCAAATATGTGTCTCCCTCCTCCTAGACAGACACATTCCCTTCCTTATTTTCCATATTTTCTAAAGCAAAGACAGTGAGTCATCTTAGGCTTTTCTAGCCCAAATTTTCTCTTTTAGAGAAAGACAAAACCAAGAATGTGAATCCCGATTCTTGGCATCCCTCTTCCCTTGCTACACAAGACAAGTTGTCATCCTGGAAGCCTAGGACAGTACAGCCTCAGCATGGTCATCTAAAGACCACCAAGTAATCCCCACACTGATGAAAAAGAGACTTTGGGATTGAGGTTTCCCCATTTGCACTCCAAATCTAATTACCTCCAAACAAAAAGGGAGAGGGGAGGGGAAGGGAGGGGACGGGAGGGGATGGGAGGGGACGGGAGGGAAGAATGAGAAAAGAAGTCTGACAAAACAGAACTTATATTTTCTTATTAAAAAGATCAAGGAATGCTTGGTACTGACTCAATTCTTAGAGATCCCGTGGTTCACGTGTGTGAGAGGGACAAATGAAGAAACAGGCAGCTTTACTTTAGCTTCTTTGATTTGTCGTTCTTTTGTTGAAACAGAAGCACTTTACTTTTCTTTATGCCTCAGGTAGTTTTCTTTCATTTACAACTTAGTGTAAGACACTGCATGGTTATTCTCTGTTCTGATTCTCCCTGTGGTCTTCAAGTATTTTTAAAAGCAGAAAATAAAATACAACAAACACACTGTTTCATACACATCACCACGAGAGTACACATGATAACTTGCATTCTAGTCCAGGCCACTTAGTGCTCTGTAATCATGAAGGAAAACCAAAGCATGTGCAGAGCATCAGCCTCACAGCTTAGACAGGAATGGACATCATGCCTCTGCACTCACCACAAGATGGCCACAAAACATGATACCACCATGAGGAGTATTCACTGTCTTTACAAATTAGTACTCACTAGGAATTCAGGAAACACATTTACTCACTTATCTGTTTCTATCTGAATCACAGAACTGAACTCACAAAGCACTGCACAGCCAGAAGTAGTGGGATATGCAAATTAACAAGTGGGTAAAGTTGGTAATGAAAGAAAATGGCAACACAAAGGCTTTCTAAACAAAGAATTTCATCCAGAAACCAGTATGACACCCACCCATTATAACAGAAGCACACTTGCTGGCATGTGCTACAGCATTATACAATGCTGCTGTGTTTTGTTTTGGAATCTCAAGACAGATAATCATTCCTTCTTGCATTTATTTTGAGTGTCATTATAGAATATATATTCTTTCTTTGAGCTCATATGAATGCTTGTGCTGTCATTATATAAATGTTAAAACACTGTCACAGTAGCAATCAGTAAAGACTGGAGAGATGGCTCAGCGGTTAAGAGAATTGGCTTGTCTTGCAGAGAACCTGGGTTTGGTTCCCAGCACCCATATGGCTGCTAACAACTGTCCGTAAGTACAGTTCCAGGGGATCCAACACCCTCTTCTGAACTCCACAGGCACTACACAACATGGGTGCACTTACATACACACAGGCAGTACACTTATACAATAAAATTAAAAATAAAAAATTTAAATAAAAAAAAGCATTTTCATTCTAACACTACATTATGGGAAATAAGTATAATAGAAACTGACGAGCCAAATCCTAGAAGTTGAAATGAATGACAAGGTGTGTTTCTTATAAAGCAGACATCATAAAATCAAGCATGTCTGAATCAGTCAGTAGGACAGTAAAGTGAAGCTGCCGGGGAAGGAAGGAAGTTTAAGACAGTGGAGTAACAGCAAGCCAGATAGGCCAGTATCTCTACAGGGTTAAGTAACAATAACAGACTCAGATTTCTCTACATAGGGATACAAGCTCATTACACAGGTCACTTATCATTTTCATTGAACAGCTGAAAAAAACTAATGACTTTTAAATGGTGGCAACATATTTTTATAAAACTTTAATAAAATTACTAACCCAAGTAAAGTTTTACAGATAAAATATGACTCACAAGAAATTACTTATAATCTGTTATAAAATTATTTAAGAAAAAAGTAGAGGTATTACTTTACATAGCATGATTGGTAAAATAAGACTGACATATATACATATATATGTCAATATATACATATATACATATTCATGAAAATCTAAGAACTATAACTCAAATGAACAGATCTCTGAAGTACCATTAAGAAGTAAAATATATATAAAGCTGCCCTAACAGAAAGCCCTGGGTTTTTAAAGCATTATTCAACCAGTGCTGTTGATCTAATTGTTTAACTGGGAAATCGAAAGAGAACCCCACCTCATGTCAAAATTAATTCCAGATGGACTGAAAGAGTCACAAGTAAAAAATGAAGCCACAATAATGAGATTTTCATGAAATCTCAGAATAAAACAAGGGCCTTCTAAGCGAAGCAAATGGTAGAAGCCCTAAAATCGTCTAGATTTCAAAAAGTCACAATAATCCAGCTAAAAGGTAACCAATAAATTGAGAGGTAACTGCAACCAGTATGTCAGAAAAAATGTGAGTATTATGAATTCATAGGGTTAGGTTCTATTAAATAACGTTTTGCAAAAAGCCCAAAGTACTATTTCCATTAAAAAAAAAAATCAGTAACACTTTGAACATATCTATAAACTGCCTATTTTTTCTACAGGGCATCAGATTTGTTTTGTTAAAGAGGAGGGAAAAGGTTTGTGCTGTTGCTGCTGTTTAGTTTTTTTAATTTTTATGTGTAGGAGTGTTTTGCCTATATGTAAGAATACCATGTGCGTGCAAACCCACAGAGGTCAGAAGAGGCTGTCAGGTTCCCTGAAGCTGGAGTTATAGACAGTTATTAGCCACCATATGGATGCTGGGAAGTGAACCCAGGTCCTCCTAACCTCTAAGCCATCTCTACAGCCCGCAGAAAAAGTTTTTAAGTTGATGTTAAGATTTTGGTTTTTTTTGGTCTTTTTGAAACAGGGTCTCCCTGTAGCCCCAGCTGTCCTGGAACCCACTATGTAGACCAGGCTGGCCTTGAACTCACAGGGAGCCTCTGCCTCCCAAGTGCTGAGATTTTAAAGGCGTGCACCGCCACGCCCGGCTGATTTTAAGATTTTTTTTAAAAGTTACCTAGATTTTACAACTTTTCTTGGAAAATGAAAAGGCTTATCTTCCAGCTATAAACATTAAATAATGTCCAAGGTTTGAGCTGTATGAAGAAGAATTTATAAACACTTCCATAGGAGATTTCATTTTTTTCCTTTTTAAGGAAGAGGTGAAATAATACTCCACACAGGAAACAAGATCCAAAGTACCAGCAATAATCATCAAGGGTACTCTTTAAAACACCTCTTGTCCAGCCCAGCTAATCAGAGTTCTGCAGTCTCCAGTCTCATTCTGCCAGAGCCCACCAACATCCTACTGCCAGGTCAGACCTACCTCCAGAACAGGCCCCCCAGTGAGGGTACACTTCCATTAACTCCTACCCTCTGTTCCTACTTGGCATCTCAATGCCCTATCCAACCCCATCCACATCCTCTTCTAATTGCCTTTAGCCTCTCTAATGAGAATTCAGCTTTTCCCAGCACACAATCCTAGCATAGGAGCCAAGGCAACATCAGGACTAGTGGACAAGCAAGAACAGCACTGGGGCACCACACTAACGTTGCTGCAAGAGTACTCCCTCTAGAGTCTCCTAACCAACATGGTATCTTAGCCAGACAGATCAGAGACAAAGTGTTCTGGCATGTCACCCCTGAATCCAGAACACAGAGTGGACGAAAACTTGAGCAATTCTTTTTCGGCACTGGGGAACAAGCCACAGACAGGATGACAATAACCAAAGCGATACACATCAAGCCCTAACCCTGACATGCAAATGATATTGTAAGATTCATTTTCTCACAGTAATATTCTGAGACAGACAAGGAAAGTGAGGTGCAGAGGCCTAGAGTAGTTTATCCCAAATCATACAGGTCATTCTGGCACTGAAAGAGAAGGGCAATCAGGGAGGAGTTAGTCTTCCTGAAGGGGCTGTGTGTGTTCCAAGGCGAGATAGGGAACACATCCCACTGCACCCCTGTGTAGTCTTATCATGCCACTCTCCACCAAGCATCTTCACTGCTTTTCAATGTCTCACCCTCCCACGGAGATGCCACCTTTTCTGATGGCCAGTCAGTGTTTCAATTCATTATATATCCCAGGGCCTCATACCATGTCATGTGTTTGGCACAAATATATGCTTTACTACTAAAATGAAAATGAAAGGATTAAGTTAAAGCAACATTTCTGCTTTATCAAACCATTTAACCAGATAAATTCAGGTAGGTTTGGTTTTTGCCCTTCTTTTTTGGTCATTTACAGAATCCTGGCAAGTCGTTTTTATTAAGTCTGTTCATTAAATACAGTCTTAGAAAGAAATATTTTTTAAATGTGGGCTTCAAGCCTAGTACAGGGATGAAGTGAGAATTCATAATACATGAAATGAACTTTTTTTTTCCCAACCCTCATGTTTAAATGTTTGATTCTACTGGGTAAAATGATACTCTGCTACTTCCATGATGGCATTTGAATAGCTGTGTCAACAACAGTTCTGGACACACATCTGATGTGAGCATGCTGCTGCAACTGATCTAAACCTACAGTCACATTATTATTGACTGGGCAGATGTTACAAAAAGCAATTTTAGATTCTCCCACTGTTAAAGTTTTACTCCATTTGCTTGTCTCCAGTGAAAAATGGCTACAAAGTTGTTAGGGACACTAGACAATAAAAGTATACATCCTCAGGGAGACAAAAGCACATGAAAAGGAGGTGAGAAATGAGCTACAAACTCCCAACACAACAGAGGGCAGCCTGTGTCCTATGCGATCCCAACAAGCAAATAAAGACGAACCTTCAAAACAAGACAAGCCAACAGACATTACTCAAGGCAGGCACATCCAACCAAACAGAAGCAAAATGGTCAAGAATATCTTGGTTTTGTTTTTTTTTTTAATCCAATTTACAAAAACCAACCTAGCAGCTTAGACTATGTTTAAACCACAGTTCAACATATAATTGGGCTTCTAGAAACTAGAGAATGCAAAAGTACATAGAACCAAGAGAGCTACCACAGAAAGGCAAAGGGGATGACATCACCAGATAGGGAAAAGGGGAAGACCGAAGGGAAAACAAAATGTTCACACTGATATCTGACGTCAGCTTTTAAATACACTGTTTTTATCTCCACATGAAAACTGTTTATGTTGTTTTTGAAAAAGCTCTTTAAGAAACTGAGAGAGTAAACTCTTCTTAAAGCATCCCAGATGAGTACATTAACCAGAGAAACAAGTATGTGCTTGTCAAAACAGGACTGCATATTTAGGAAGCAGAGGTGGAAAAAGGAAGCAAATATCTGAAGTACAAAACCTCGATTCTTACAGAATTATTAATCAAATTATGTACTAGATATCATCTATGGTAAAGCAACGTGGAGGTAGGGAGAAAATAAAGGGATGAAGCAGTCTTATACAGATTTAGCAATGTAATGGAAGAGGCAGCTGTTTTTATTTTGCTGTATTACATAGACAACTACCTGTATTTATTTTGATATACCAAAAACAAAACACACAAAATGTCAGGCTTCTCGTTGAGTACCACCTGGTTTTTTCGTAGAGTATCAACAGACAAAATAGCAACTACACATACTGAACTGATCAAGACTGTAGCACAAGGACTGGAGAGATGACTTGGTTTAAGAGAGCTGGCTGCTCTTGCAGAGGATCCAGGTTCAGTTCCCAGCACATACATGGTGTCTCACAACAGTCTGGAACTCCAATACCAGATCAGCCACCCTCTTCTGGTCTCTGAACATTGTACGATGTGGGTGCACTTACATACATGCAGGCAAAACATTCATACACATAAAAGTAAGCCAAACAAATTTAAAGAATATAGTATAAACCCTTCATAAACTTGAAGTCAGACACATCATGAAGATGCGAAAAATGAGACTTCAAGATAGAATCTGGTCACTATGTAACTCCATAAACTAAATTCCTGAAACAGTTTTTCACGTTTTAGAATTAAGTTTGAATTTGCTTTACTAGACAAAACATTAACATCAAACACTGAGAGTCTGAGACAGTGGAAGAGTCAACAGAAGATTCTACTAAGCAACAGAAGTTATAAATGTACAAAACCCAGTGGGGGCAGATGGCAAATGAAAAAAGAAAGCAGTTTAGTAATTAGATTACTGGTTCTTCAAGTCAGTTTTATCCTTATCCCCCTCCACCATCATCCAATCGAAGGAAGAAGTACAATTTGTATACATGTACTACTTGCCAATGAAATGCTGAAAGAACCAGTATGCTCAAGCATCAAAAGCTAGAGAAAATCAAAAGCATACAAAATACAAATTCAGCAGGTCATTTATTTTATAAGTATGGCAATCATTTGCCCAGGAGGTAGAACACTGCAATCAATCACCTGCTGCAAAGCCAAGCCACCCATGCAGCTCCTGTAGCTCAGCAAGTGTCAAGGGAAGAGGTTGAGGACGCCTCACTGACACCCACTGTCTACATGTTCCGAACCTCAGCTCAGTCTTTCTGTAAATTAGTAGATCAAACAGAAATGTCAGCTCATCCACAATCACTTAAAGGACAAAGTATTCTATAAATAGCAAGTAGAAACCTCGAGTATGTTGGGCCCATACGTGTAGTCACAGCTATTGAGGCCACAATGTTTATTTGAACCAAAGGATTTTGATTCTATTTATTCAGGAATAGAAAAGTAAAAAAAAAAATCTTGCATCCCCAGCAATGAGGGAAGAAAAAGTACAAATATGAAAATTACCTCCCCTACTTAAAATTGATAGCAGGCAATATTTTCATCTCTTTAGGCTAAGCCAAAAAAAGGTCAACAATATGCAAATTATTTCTACCTCACAAAATATACAAAATAGAGGGGAGGGCTAGAGAGATGGCTCAGCGGTTAAGAACACTGTCTACTTTTGTAGAAGACCCAGGTTCAATTCCTAGCATCCACATGGCAGGTAACAACCATCTGTAACTCAAGTTCTAGGGGATCCAACACCCTCTTTTGACCTCCTCGGGCACTGCATGACATGGGTGCACTTACATACATAAGGCAATATACTCATACACATAAAATAAAAATAATACTTAAAAAAAACCTTAGGAAAAATGGATGGGAATTATCTCTCTGGGGTCATTTCAAAGCTCAGACCACAAACTTCAGAAACTGCTAAATATATACCAGGATTCCTGTACTGTTCCAGAAATCCTGGCTAGCCCCCAGATCCCCAAATGTGAGGTTGTAGGTCACTCTTCTATGAATCTAAGCACAATACCACATACTAAACAAAACTAGGACAACACTTGCACATAATAGAAACCATAAATTTTTGTTAGATTCCAGGGAATTATTTTCCAATAACAATAATCTCATGCCAGTTTTGATGGTATCCTGCTAGAGCAGCATCCCTAATCTTAAAATTCTATCACGATGCTGCTGCAGTCCTCCATAAAACAGAGGTGCATGAAGAAACAGCTGTGCTCCCTACAGCAGTGAAAGCCTTCAATCCAGAGCAAATGTGTTATTTGGCTCCAGCTGGTTTTTTTTGTTTTGTTTTCTTTTGGTCTTTTGGAGTTTTTTTAAGCCCTATGAAGAATGCTCAGCCAAAGAAGATGTTTTAGTATCCTGTCCAGGTGTTTTCGTTTGTTTTCAATTTTACCTCCCCAAAGGGGAAAAAGCACATTTAGAATACAAAACAACAGATGGTTTACTCCAGCTTCTCCCTCCACACCACCAAATGTGAATTAAGTGTACAATGAACAGCAAAAGCATGGGCACGTTCTGTTTACGCATGTGCTCAAATTAGACACAAACCTTTACAGCTCCAAGTTGTTCTTTTCTGAATTTTTCCAAGGGTTTAATCAGGGTTTCAGTTACACTTAATGCCTAGAGAAAAAGAGTGATAAAAGAATATAGCGTCAGGTTTCCAGAAAGAAAAACATAGCATTTCATTTTTCTCTTGTACCCACCCAAAAACAAAATGAACAACATATTTAACTGTCTTCCCTCACTCTGCCAATGCAACAATTAAATCACTGCATAACTTATTAAAGCACTGGAAGACCATAAATATTTTTGGGGAAGAGGCAGTGGAGCAGCTGGCTGGGGACTAACTCAGGCCCAAAGCTCTTCCATAAAAATGGCAAAAGAGATGTCTTTAAACAACAAAGGGGTCTATCACACTCATTAACGGAACACTTCTGTTTGGGTTTTTTTTTTTCCTTTCCTCCTCCTCCTAAATTTAAAATTCAATTACATTCCTTTATTGGTCATCAGACTACATTAATGAAAGGACTAGGGACTGTGGTTACCCTTCTAAATACAAGGAGTCTGGACTTCATTACTAAAAATTTCCTGTCCTAGTAAGGACTGAAGGCATATTAGCAATATGGATGGAGTCACTAGAGAGATACAAAAAAAAGTCAGAGCAAGTAAGTGGGCCTGCTGGCAAGCATCACATAAGGAAGGGTCAGGATGATGGGCCACACACACTCTGACCACAATCTCATTCATGTCTTATTTGGCTTTTCATTCAAAGCCACAAAATGCTGAAAACATAAATAAAAGGACTAGTCACCTAAAGAGAACATGCTTAACAGCAATACACTACTGAATACTGGCTTTCTCAGCTCCCATTCCCAAGAGACCAGAAACATCTAAGAGGGAGGGGCCTCAAAACCCTGTACAAGAATGCATCATCTACCTTTCTATAAAACCCTCCTCATTAAAAAGGGGGGGAGGGTTGGAGATGGCTCAGCATTTAAGAGCACTGGCTGTTCTTCCAGAGGACCCAGGTTCAATTCCCAGAACTCATATGGCAGCTAACAACTGTCTGTAACTCCAGTTCCAGGGGATCCGATGCCCTCTTCTGGCCTCTGCCAGCTTTGCATGACACAGGTGCACTTACATACATGCAGACTCACACACATAAAACAAAAATAATTTTTTTTAAATCCAAGCTGAAAATAAAAGGAAAATAATAGTAAGTTATTTAGAAAGCAACACACTAGAAATGAAACCCAGTCCCTTGCCCCATCCCTTGCACAGTAGGCAAGTGCTCATCCAGTCAGCTAAACTGCTAGGCCTTAGGAAAGGATTCAACTAACCTTATTATTCAATGATTTCTCCTAAAATGAGCTTTCATACCACAGGATGGGGAACACAGAACATGTAATTGTCCCCTTATATGCAATGAAGGGAGTTTGAAATTTATAATCCAGGCCTGCTCTTGGGTCCTAATCCTACTTGGAAAACTTCAGATTCAGCTGTAAAAGAGCTGGGGCAATAGAGAATGAAAGGAAAGAATTACCTAAAAATAGAGAGGAATGGGATCATCTTGAAAATACATTAATTTTAACCTCTACATAGAAGACCATGTGACTTGCAATAACAAACCAAAGCAGCATAGACAATAATCCTGACCACCCAAGTATCATTTGGATTGTCCATGCTGTATCTGGGAAAGCAGACACAGGACAATTTGTTACACATTTTCAAGATGAACCAATTTACACACAATGTCCGAAACTTAAGGCATACTTAGGGCCAGGGAGATGGCTCAATGAGCAAAGGCAGCTGCTACCAAGCCTGAAAACCTGAGTTTGATCCCCAAGACCCATATGGTGGAAGAAGAGAAATGACTCCCCAAAGCTGTCCTCTGACCTCCACCATGTGTGCCATGCATGTGTAGGCCCACATACAAACACACGCATGTATACATAAAAGGAATAAATGTATTTTTCAAAGACATACTGATACGACATCTGTGTCGTCTCCCAAGTTTCCAAAAGAATAAATGTATTTTTCAAAAACATACTGATATGATATCTGTGTCATCTCCAAAGCTTCTATATCTAGATCAAGCCTATTGCTATTGTTGAATAAACACACATATAATATATCACCTACAGAGGCTAGCTAGCATGCTCAGGAAAGAATTCAGCCCAGTAAGGCATACAGTATAAGAGGGTGACAAATCTCAAGGTCACAGAAGACAGGTAGAGATTAAAAGCTCTCCACAGAACACTGCAATAGAAGCACTTCTTCATTCAAAACAGCCATCTAACAAACCCTGTAGGCTCTGGAAATGAATATAACACGCTGACTCTCTGGACCAAGTAATAAGGATACAAGAATGAAGAGCCCCCAGCCTCATGGAATTTACTGTCAGTATGCAAGTCATGTAATGGATACATAACTGCAAAGTCTAACAATGCCTTTGAATGGGGAAAGTAGGCACATAATGAGGACTTCATTAGAAGAGACAAGAAGGAACAATGTTCCTTCAAGGTGTGAGCTTCATCAAAGCAGTGACATCTAAGCTAAGAATCAAAAGATGAGAAGGAATCAGTGATATAGGGATCAAGGAGAGCTGTTTCCAGCTTGAAGTCAGTGGAGGCAAAGGGTTAAAGCAAGAAGGAATTTTGCCTACGACAGCGAATGCCAAAGGGGAATTACAGCTGGAAATTACATGAGGAAAGGTCAAGTCAGAAGCCAGGTGATAGCAGAGGACCTGAACATGCTACGGTCAGAACACGCATACCCCAAGTTGATGGAAAAGCCAGTGAAAGGCTCTGAAGCAGAAAACTCATATATATAATGCAATAATAATTAGACCTTTTAAAGATTAGCTTCTCTGTGAAAAAAGATTTAGAGGGACAGAAAACCAGAAGACAAAACTCTTATCTGGGGGTTTCTAGAGTGGTACAGGTAACGTGATGGTCGCTCAGACAAAGATAGCAAGAGACGTAAAGAAAAGAAAACAGATTTGAGAGACATCTTACAAACTAACAGGAACTGAATGTGGGAAAGGTGTGTGGTGATTTCTGTAATCTCTCCCAGATTCTGTACAAGCAAGAGACTACATAAGAATACTGTGATGGTATGGATCTTAAATGGCCTCCTAAGACCCACAAGCTAAAGGCCCAGTCACCAGCCTATAGCACGAAAAACCTTTGGGAGGTGAGGTGTAGGTGAAGAAGCGGGTGACTGGGGCATGTCTTTGAAGGGGAGATTGAAACTCCAGCTCCTTCTCTTTTTTGGCTGCTAGTCACTATCAAGTGAACCAGCTTTGCTCCATCTCACATTTTCTGCCATGGTGTTCGGCCTCACCACCAGTCCAAAAGCAAAGGTGCCAAGCAATCGTGAACTGAAACCCCTGAAAATTTGAGCCAAAATAAGATGCTAAAATACGCTGCCAGAGTGTGGGATGAATGAGAAAGTGGTTTAGCTGCATGAGCCTGCATATTGGTCAAACTTGGACTCAGATCTCTGTAATTTTGAATTTCTATTTCTATCTTCTATGACGAGTACTGTCAGCCTATTACACCAGCATGCAATGCTGAGCTGACTTCTTTGATCATGCCATCCTCTGCAGAAAATATATTATTTATAGGTTCATTCAAGTACAGTAATAGGCTAGGTCCAGATACAGGAGCTTTGGAAATGGTACAGATGTCATACAAGTATGCCTTAATTAACGAGACACAATGTGTAACTTGTACACTTTCTGCAATATCCATAGAAAGGTGAGAGCATTTGGGGGAACAGCCTTTCTTCAAAAGGATGACCACAAATGGCAAGACAGGAGATGACTGCTGAAAAACAAGGTGAGGCAGAAGGAAGGTCTTTTTCTTTACCTTTTTCTAAGACAAAAAGGAAAAAACATTCAGTATTTAGGAGATGACAGCATATCCAAATGCCCATATAGAGTCCACAAAAGGGTTGAAGGATCAGAACATGGATGGGGGGGCAGATAGGGGGGTGATACGATATGATACTTACACTGCATGGACAGCCACCCTATCCTGGGAATAAATAAAGCTCTTCATTTCCCTTCTAACAGAGTCAAGCCAGTATCAACGGGCCTGAAGACTTCATGAAGAAAAGCTGAGGGAAATACTACCAGATGGTTACTGCCTTTGTGAATACTAAGGCAAGGCTATTTACAGAGCTCAGGCCTGAGAACAATTTGAAGGCAGCAGAGAATCAATCAATCATCAATCAGTCAAAGAATCAATCACTTCAAATGAAGAACACTGCTTAGAGAAACAGGACCATCCCTGGACAGGGCTGAAAGTCCTGTGGGAGAAGCGAGCAGGAATTTCCATCTGCCTTCTCATGGGATTTTTCTCTTACAGTGAAGAAAGAAAGCAAGAGGTGGAGTTCATGTGAGCATTTCCTAGAGACATAAACACATCAGTACCCTATGCTGTGGTATCTGAAGTGCTGGTGAGGTGCAGGAAACTCCAAATCACAAGGGAGGAAACCCTTCAGTAAGGAGGATACCCCAATGAATCCCACACAAAGCTAAGCCCAGAACAGGGGACAGTGTGTCCCAGGCAAGGATAAGAGCTGGGAAGGTCGTCTATGTAGAGGAAAGAAAAGAGCAAATTCAATGCATGGGGTTCCCAACTGTTCAATGTTACTGAAGTAAACGAAGAAGTCAAAGGATCACAGGAGGTTGGAGACATCAGATGTCCTCCATTACCATCACAACAGGATCTAAGAAATGCTCAAAAAATGACAGCTGTCCAGTAATAATACAGGTATGTGAAAGCCAATATCAGAGCCCCCAAATTCCATATGCTATAGTACTTTCCTTCACAAAAGGATGAGACCACAAGGCTCACACTACAGGAACTTGAGGTCCTAAGATCCGTCCTTCATTTGGAGAATTAATCTGATACATAAATCACCTGGGCTCCAAGACTATGGAACAGCAACGCAGAAGAATGTGAGGGTTTCTGTTCTAAGCCAGTAATCAAACTTCCAAACTAAAGGAAGTAATGACAGACAACAGTACATACAACTCTTTAACAAAAACAAAACTACTCTTTCAAAGCTTAAAATTCATTATGAATTTGTATCCTGTAGGAAAGTCTGAT